TTTTCCCTCTGCCTAGAAGGGTGTGGTAAAGAGCAGTGTACAAAAACGTTTTCTCACTTCCACCTGGGCCATCGATGAAGAAATGTCTTCCGATATGCCCTGCCTCTATTGTATGCAAAATATCATCTGCTACTGATTTTTGGCCGTCCTTCAAGTTGTCGATCATTTCTCTTCCACGGGCTGCGTGCTCTGTTTCCGACTCATAACTTTCATCTATAAATCCTGGTCTTCGATCAGCAGGAGGGGTAACAAAGTTGCTGAAATTCACTCCACTCATCTGCATGCCGTCCATTATGTCATAGTACGCTCGAATGACTGCCTCTTCATGCTCAAACCACGTCGCGAGTAATCTTCAGCCACGGCTGATTTAAACTGCTCGCACAGCCGCTCAGGTTCTGTCACATCACAGAAGCAAATAAGGCTACTGAAGAGTGAACGCAGTTCCGATGGCATTCGGAACTCTGCTGCCCCTCTTATACCGCTTTCATAGTGTGGAGCGTCGTGCATTAGCCCGAGAGCCTTTGCAGCCTCTTCAAAACCATTGTAGGTCACCCCATTCACAGACTTGAGTTCGTCGAAGAATTTGGCTCCTTTTCTGTTTAGAAGTAGTATTCTGAGACCATAACGTTCCGCATCTAGCGGGCCGTATACATTCTTATCTGACGGCTAGGTTTCTTTCTCAGGCTCCACTTTTTACTTTGTTGATTGAAAGTGAAGTAGTCTGGTATCTAGACGTAGAGAAGCGTTCGAGCGTCAACTTGCACTCGTGGTGCAGTTCCAGCTCCGTACAAAGCCTCATGCTCCACGTTCAGCTTGAAGTAGGCTGTGAGGGTTGTATCTCGTTCTGCTGCCCGCCGGAGAGCTTCCTCTTCTTGGTCACTTTGGAAAACTACGCTCTCCTGCTCTGTTAAGTGCAGCTGCAATCTGTACACAGTGTGCGATTTGGAGTGGAATTCAAATTCCAACAATCTGTGCACTGATTCTGAAGCGCATACATATCTGGCATTTACGAATGCGTCTATCTCATTGATGGCTCTAGCCTCATCTTCTCCGTTTCTCCTTGTCATGTGCAGGGCTGCTCTAACTGGGCCCTTATATACGTATTTGTACATGTACTTCACTGCGTGAATCATAGCGCAGATTTCTACATTCAAATGGGCATTGTATCGAAGTGCGAGATATTTATTGTATGGAACCACAGATCTATTGTCAAGCGTGGTGTGACCATATTGTACTGCCCTCCCATCATTCGGTCGTCTACACTCTGGATAGCCATCTACTTCTATGTTTGTTGCCTCTCTGAATGATTTGGGAAACTTTTTTGAGCACTGGCCATTCACCATACACGGTGAAGCTGGGTTCTCCAAACCAAGGGTCTATGCATCATGCAGGATGTGACAATACCATGAAGCCGAAACTCTGCTACTGGGTCTGGTATTACCGCTTGCACAGCTGCATCTACTTCAGTCGTGTTCCTCAGCTTATCCTCTGTATCTAACGTCAGTACTATATGGCAGTGTGGAAGCCCTCTTTTTTGCCATTCCATCACACTGATGTGAGCAATCACAGTCCCAAATATTTTTCGTTTGAAGAGATCCGAAAATAGCTCCCGCAATTTGATATGGGAAACTCGAGCGACAATGTCTGGCCGATCAGATGCTGCTTGTCCCGTACTTAGCTGTTCAGCTATTTCCCTCCATGCTGGATTGCATGTAGATGTCACGAACAGGTCTGGCTTTCCGTATTTTGAGACGACAGCCATAGCATCTTGATAGCTTTGCACCATGGCTCAAGATGATCCAGGAAATGACGAAGGTAGAATTACCCTCCTGCTTCTTATCGGGCCTGCGATGTCCATATCTCCTGCAACATAGCCAGCCAGTCCGCGGCACGTGTCCATCCGAAGTTCACACTAATGGGTTCGAAGGCCGTTTTGTTTTGTTTTCACATAACTGTCCACCAAGAACTGTTAGTACAGTTTGCCGGCAAAATGTAAGGGATTGAATCCTGCCCTCACAGCTATCATGTCTGAGTAGTACTCCTTTTGAGTTTATCTCATTCTGCGCCGTTCTGATGGGGTTTTTAGCATGTTTGGATGCCAGCCAAGCTCTCCACGAGGAAAGAAGATCGGATATGAAAGTGGGTCACATTCAGCATAATAAACGCAATATTTCGCAGACCTCCTGATTGCAGATGTACAGCAAGATTGTGTTCAGCTGGTACGTCTCCTTCCTCTCCAACATCGACGTGGATCCGAATTCGAACTCTGAAATACCATTCTAACCGGCATCACTGACCTTCCTTCCCTTAAGGCTCGAGCCTCCTCCTCGTTTAGCATCTTGTATGCCTGCGCAAAGGCGTTAATTTCGTGGAAAAGTGCGGTCAGAGACCGAATGAGAGCAGGATTGCATTGTATATTCGCTAGAATTCCTGCTCTTTCATCTGTCACCATTGATGTTTCCAGGGTGTACATTTGGCCGTACCGTGGCGGTTGACCTTCCTCCGGGCGTGCAGATCCGATTCTGTGGTAAATTTCACCATGGATACGAGAACAGTAAGGTCCTGATCGTGGAGTGTCCAGCTGAGCTTCGATAGACGCAAATGCGAAGGCGCTGCTGTAATTACGAATGTGTTCCTGAAATTCTTTTGAGTCGGCTCCTTGACTTGCCAGTAGCCTACGGAGTTGCCTAGGGAAGTTGATAAAATGTTCCAAATTTATGCTTCCAAGATTGCAGCAGTCATTTAAAGTATTAGGTCGTGAAGAAAGTTCTTGCGGTTTTGCGCCTCAAACTTCAAATGCATATATCTCGGCTTGAACGAAACTTCATCAATCGAAATAACAACCATTACTATCGACACACTTTTGTTAACGAAAAACAAGTTCGAGTATCCCATTCGCATAGAAGTCCGGAAATCTAGAGGCGATGAAATCGAATGCCGCGGCAGCATCATGTTGGGTTTTGAAGCATTTCTCCTTGAGAAAGCGTCGAGATGTTTGAAGAAATGGTAGTCTATGGGAGCAAGGTCTGGGGAATATGGTGGATGCGGGAGAGCTTCATAGCCTAGCTCCATCAATTTTCTCAGGGTAAGTTGTGCGACGTGAGGCCGAGCGTTGTCGTGGAGTAGAATTGGCCCCCTCCTATTCACCAGTGCCGGGCTCATGAGCTGGAGTTTTCGATGC